AACAATGCCTAACTACAAAGCAATTAACGACAAGGGCTGTCACACGATTGTGAGACGTTGGCGATATCCAGATAGACGGGCATTGTTTGACCATTCGCTTGCCGTACACCTGTCGGACGTTCACTGTTCTATGGGGGGCTGTTAGGGACATTATCGCATTTTCTCGATCCTTTGTAAGCTGTCAAACATGTAGTACAAAGTTATGACAATGTGAGAACACCTAAATACCCTTCAAACAATTCCCGCATAATACTTGCTGATCTGTCACGAACGAACTTAGTTTTTTTCTAATTACTCACGTGACGTAATGACTACTATTTTTTATATCGCAGTGCATTCTATTACACGTGCTTGTGTGAAGTTTTTGAATGAGCCAAATCAGTGCTCCGTCGGTTAGTGGTTAATGCAGTTCGCTCTCATATTGTGGGCGTCTCGAGTGAGTGAGTGAGTGAGTGAGTGGGTGGGTGGGTGGGTGGGTGAGTGAGTGAGTGAGTGAGTGAGTGAGTGACATAATCAGAGCGAACCTTGCATTTTAGACCACGATCGTTGTTTCAGTTTCTATTTTTCAGTTTTGTGCGAGTTCACCATTTTCAAGCAAGTTAATGACTGACCATTTCCAGTCAAGGTCAAGGTCAATATTACTTGTCCCCTCGGCCCACATAAGACAGGGGGATTCGGGAATTCAGACTTTTAAGGAATGCAAGTTTGCCCGAACCTGATCCTTTCATAATGACTACGATGTCAAAATTATACAACTACATAATAAATAACCCATGGTAGTGTGTATGAATACTGTGTTTGCACTGTTATATTGCAAAATACCAAAGGTTGCCATGTTAAGTGAGTTGAAAGCGAGCGAGTTGATATCTAAGATATCTAACTGTTTTGGCTATGTGGGCGACAAGGCCGCGCCCATATAGCCGACCCGTGAAGATCCGGGGTAGGATAGGTCCTCAGCAACCCATGATTGCCGTAAAAGGACTGTGCTTGTCGTAAGAGGCGACCAACGGGATCGGTGGTCAGGCTCGCTGACTTGGTTGATGCATGTCGTCGTATCCCAATTGCGTGGATCGATGCTCAGGATGTCAATCACTGGACTGTCTGGTCCAGACTCGATTATTTACAGACCGCCGTCATATGGCTAGAATATTGCTGGGTGCGGCGCTAAACAACAAACAAACAAACTTCAGCTCTAGCCACCCCCCTAAAACTAAGTCTGGCACCATCCCCAAGAGAACCAAGAACATCGGCTCCAGCAACCTTGACCTTGACCATGAACTTGAACATCTGCAGCATATGTTCACACATCTCGATGCTCATAATGTCAAATACTGGATTGTCTGGTCCAGACTCGATTATTTACAGACCTCCATCATATGACTGGAATATTGCTGAGAGCGGAGTTTAACAAACAAACAAAGAAACAAACATCGTCAAGGTCCTGGCACACCGAAGATGGGTGAAACTGACTGGTTATTAGCCACGTACATAGACCGGCGCATAGTCTCAGCAGGTTGCGTGCTAACTTCTCGTTAAGGGCAGCAGGGCTCATTAAGGCTTGACACAATATCCCTTCATCAATAACAGGCGGTTCTCCTTGTGTTTGTACAGACATCCACGATACAAAAGAAGAGGTTCTATCGATTATGTAAAGTGTTTTTGACGCGTGTTGCGTTATGTAATTTAATCAGTATACACGTCGCGAACAGACTGGATGACCCCAGTGGTCGCTGCTATGCGCAATACTCGAGGTATTTCCTGTCAGTCGAACAGTGGGTAAGTGTTGCGTTGATATCAGCAAATGTGTCTTTTAAATTGTAATTCGGCGGTACCATTTTACTGGAGGAAGAATGACCTTCACAAATGGTACTGTTTAGACTCAAACTCAAGCCTTAAGTCTGCATACAAACTAACAACACAAGTCAGCGTTGGCGAAGGGGCAGCCTATGATTTGGGGCAAGGTTTGTTAAAGTGAGGTGAGGTGAGGTGAGGTGAGGTGAGGTGAGGTGAGATGGTGTTTAACGTCGCGTCCAAGATTATTGCACTTATAGCGACGTGCATGCACGTGTGTGTGTGTGTGTGTGCGTGCGTGCGTGCGTGCGTGCGTGCGCGCGCGCGTGTGTGTGTGTGTGCGTGCGTGCGTGCGTGCGTGTGTGTGTGTGTGTGTGTGTGTGTGTGTGTGTCTGCTTGTACTAGTCCGGACTGATGCCGATTTATAGTGCTAGCCCACTGAGATACCATGATACATGAATACCCCACTCAGACACGGTACACTCCGAGCCGCGAGTCCTTGTTTTAGCTCCTTAATGCCGAGCGCCAGACAGGGTAACAACAAGTACCATCTTTTAACGTCTTTTGGTTTGACGCGGCCGGACATTGAACCCCGGACCTTACACTCTCCAGGCGGACGCTCTACCTCTAGACCACGAAGGCGGTTTGAACAGGAACGACTAAATTAGGTCGGTGCTACAACAGGGTTGTTTGGTTGTTTGATCATCGTTCCCCACTACGCAGAATGGTGCTCACAAGATCAACCACTAGTCCTTGCTCTTAGTAGTACGGGATAGTGTTCCCCATCTCCCCACTGACACTAGTAGCACAGTGGACGGAGGGGCCGCATCCACACTGCTTGAAGACCATTTGCTGCATAAATGGGTTTGAATCCAAAATTTCACCGATTATGACCCTTGGTGTGTCAGATTCATGCTTGTGCAGTTGTTTGTTTTCTTTGTTGTTTAACGCTGTATTCACACCAATATCCCCGTACATGACGGTCGTCTGTACAAGCTCGAGGCTGGGCCAGACAATCCGGTGATTTGACACCATGAGCACCGATCCACGCATTTGGAAAACGATGAAGTAACATGTCAGTTGTACAGTCATCAATCATCTCCCTTTGCGTCCCTTGGGCACGCCAGAAACTTGTGATTGTGGGTTCGAATCCCGGTTCGACCCGATTATGTTTTTAGGTTTGTCAGCACCATACCCGTGCTCGTGGGTTTCACCGAAGTGGTAAACGTCTGAGACCTGCATCACTTCGGGCTTTCCTCCCACATTAAGCTGACACGCCGCGATATAACTGGAATACTGTCAAAAACGGCGTTAAACCCAACTCACTCACTCACTCAGTCACTCAGTCACTCACTCACTCACGCACTTACATGTCGCTCCCTCATTAACACCTCGCACCCCCACTTTCACCTCACTCCCTCACTAACCCAGCAGCGTTAACCCCAATATCCAGCTCTGTCTGACGAGGTCTCAGTCAGGCACTGGCTGAAAACAGTGTTGAATATCTCTGTTGAGGCAATACGACCTGAAGTGGTTTTATTCATACATTGTATTAATTGCCAGCTACTCGACAGTCTATTTTAAAACCGGTTAGACTCGGCGTGGCTTTGTTTACATGTCAATTGAACAGTCATCAATCAGGGGACCCGGACGTGACACAAAGAGGGTTATCTCCCTTTGTGGTGACGTCACTTTCATGATTTATACTTGGTTTGTCCGACACATGTTGTTTTATTGAATATTTGCTAAAAAAATGAAAAATATCGAACTCACACACAGTCATAACCCAGTCAACATATGCACTTTTCAGAAAGACACATATTTGAGGACGGGGCTAAGTATAGTTTGTTGAATTTTCTTTCAATATACAATAGAAAGAGTAACAAGAATGTCTTCCTATTCAGGCCTGAAACTGAAGAAATCTGGACAATTTATGTGAATTGCCTTGGAGAAAAGTGATCTGAACACCGGGATAGTGATCTGAACACCGGGATAGTGATCTGAACGCCGGGATAGTGATCTGAACACCGGGATAGTGATCTGAACACCGCGATAGTGATCTGAACACCGCGATAGTGATCTGAACGCCGGGATAGTGATCTGAACACCGGGATAGTGATCTGAACACCGCGATAGTGATCTGAACACCGGGATAGTGATCTGAACACCGGGATAGTGATCTGAACACCGGAATAGTGATCATCTCATTACCTGCTCAAGCATTAAGTTGGGCTTCTTTGATAGGCATTTAGAAGTTGGAGTACTAAGTAAAGATAAGAATCTATGGATGAACAACTTCTTTATTACAATTAAGCGCGCCGTTTCGGTGTAGGTTCTAACACCGTTAGATCACTTGCTTGATAACGGTGTTAGAACCTACACCGAAACGTCGCTCTTAATTGTAATAAAGAAGTTGTTCATCCATAGATTCTTATCCTTACTTATTAAGTTGGGCGTCGTTATATGAAAAAACCCCACAGCTTTGAACCCTCTCACTCACTCACTCACTCAACCACCCATCCAAACAAAACTCACTCACTCACCCACTGTTGATTTTGTTATGGAAGAAATGGACGATGCTGTGTTTATTTAAGAGAAGCACACACTTACAATCTACCGTTCCATTGGCAATAATTCATTTCATTTCCATTTTCTTAAATCAACAGTTGGGGCGGTCGGGTAGCCTAGTGGTTTAAGGCTTCGCTCGTCACGCCGAAGACCCGGGTTCGAATCCCGACATTGGTACAATGTGTGAAGCCCATTTCTGGTTTCCCCCGCCGTGATATTGCTGGAATATTGCTTAAAGCGGCTTAAAACCATACTCACTCACTCACTCACTCACTAAATCAATAGTTTGTGTTGTTTTTTATTTATGATCGACTTGGTATTACTGGATTGAATGACACACTATTCTGTTGCTAAACAGGTGGAGATATTCGTGTATACCTTGAAGTGTTTGAAATAAAAACTTGAGTGTTGTTGACAGGATCCTATGTGACACCCCCTGGAAAGTGAAACACTATAGGGACAGATGAGTGATCGTAGAACACTTTGTCCACGATCTCATCATTCTGAAAGCCCACTCAACTCGGATGACCTTCCCAAGCACGTAACATTGAACTCATGCCGGATCACCTGGAGCGCGAGGTATTTGGCGAACACGGCCCGACACGCGAGGTGGTATCCTCGCGAAAGTAAGCTGGGCTGTATAGAGGGGAGCAGTCATTAACAATAGGTGATCACACAAGGAATAAAGCTTATTGATTACCGCTGTTCGATTGTAAAGTTGCGCATAATCACCGCTCCCTAACAACATCAACTAGTCCCGAAATTGCCTGCCTGGATACGCTTAGTGGCAATCTAGTGGAACGCGGCAGAGATCGTCGCAGAATTAGTCGGTATGTGCCCGTGTCCCTGGTTTTTATGGTAATTTGTCAAGTGACATCGGTGATCCAAGTATTGGACTATTGGAATGCAATGAATGGGCTTTAAAACAACCTTGGTGCTAATTTGCACGACGCAACGACATCAACTGCTACGGCTACTCATATGAGACAACCCTGTCGTCTACGACGGACAAAGATATTGCTGTACGTCGTTTGGTAGGATCGTCTATAGACACTGTGAGTACATGTGACCAGGGCCCACTTGCGCAAAGCGATCTTAGCACTAAGACTATTGTAAGCCTATGTTAAAGTACGTTATGTTAGAGTTACGATCATCTTAGCGCTAAGATCGCTTTTTGCAAGTGGGCCCAGAAGTACGGGCATCAGCACCTCTGGTTATCTCACGCTGAATGTATAGTTCTGTGCATATTTATAACATACACTGCTCTAGGCTCTCCTCGGATGGTGATGAACATGATCAATCGTCCTCTGCCCACACCGTCCCTTTTTACCTATTTTGACTTGTGTTCCCGTATTTTTTTAGGTGAACAATTGCTTTGCCTTTGCATGTGTTTGTGACTGGTGCGACAGATGGGACAAGATACGCTCACCGTTTCGCTAACACCTGGTATCGTCACTATTAGATGGTGATTCAACACTTGCTTATGGAATAGTCGGAATCGTTCAGTGAACTTTTAGTGGAGATTTATTATGATTATGAAAATGGTTTTGTCGCATTTATTTATTTATTTATTTATTTATTTTACTTACTGGGCATCCACTGACAATGTGTTGGACAGTCTCATTAGGTTCATTGCATGATCAACATTTCATATTTACATTTCGATGCAAAATCACACATTGACGGTTTCAAGTGGGAAGTGATCGTTGTTGTTGTTGTTATTGTTGTTGTTCTTCTTCCAGATCACCGCGATACACTGTTTATGTATGATTAAATATATGATTACAATAATAATAAAGCGACAAACCCTTTCCATATCCAATGTAAATCTCTGCATAAAGCAGAGTCGATTGTACGATTCCGACAGTATCAAGAGCATGTGAGTGAGTGAGTTAAAATTTTACATCGCATCGGCAATATTGCAGCCATATTGCGATCAAGAGCATGTGTTTATGAATCACTATTAGATAGTGATGACACCAGGTATCCTGTAATATGACCTATTCTGGCCTCAAATCTTCACGAGGAATACCTTTGATGTTACAGCTGATTTATATTTCATAAATTAAGCTTAAAATTTATAAAATGCACTTTTAAGCGTGTGCTGCCAACCTGGTGACACCCGTCACAAACACATGCAAAGGCAAGTGAATTCTTCACCTGAAGAAAACCCACGGGAACACATGGAACAAGTCAAAATAGGGAATAGCATCGGATATATCTTTTGTCCCTGATGCCTCAAAATTGATCGCCACATGTCTACCATAAAACTCTTTAAAGCTTTACTGACGCCTTGAATGTTGTAACCTTGATCAAACAACTTCTGAGCAAGAGTCGTATGACGGTCTTTGAAATATTTGTAGAAAGAGCATCTCAAAAGTTGTGAAATGTAAACACCAAAGGCTGGAGCTGCTGGAATATTGCTCGACATGAAGGGAACGTTTTCTATTGGAAAGTTGAAGTCATCCCTCTTGTCATCCAGTCTTGTGAAGAGGTTTCCATTTGACACACTGAATATGCATGCATAGATCTATACGTGAAACAGATTAGGCGTTTTGACCGGTCGCTTTTATGTCTAGTTGGATAGATCAGCGGAAGGGAACTGGCCATTGACTGTTGTTGAACGATTCACATCATCGATATACCTGAAGCTTTACTTAAATGTTTTAGCGCCATCATCAGAAATTCCGATACAACTACAGACAATCCCTTATGTTTTGGTCAAGGAGAGAGTTTTGTCACTGAATCGTCATGCGTAGATCTAAATACGGGTTCCCGACAGAAAAGCTGATCCTTGTTTCTTTAAAAGGTAAATAAAAGACTGGTTGTGATCATCTTATTTGGTAGTTAGGATATTTTACAGAGATTTATTTATCCAATAAACAGCAGTGTATTTACAATTGTCCGATTCCTGAAAGTGCCGTATGTAATGGAATTTGTTTTATTTTTGCCATGTCAGATTCTAATAAAAACGTAATAAAAATAGTTATGTTACATAGTAGGATGTTGATGTTTGTGGGTTCAGAAGCCTTCTGTAGCACAACAGTCTGGTGTCTCTACTCCGCTTGTATCGAACGACGGACATCGATACTTGTTCGATGATCACCCGGAACTTGAGGGTGTTTGTTCAAGGTCAATCTTTGAAGCAGTGAGGGAGAGATATTGTTTCACGACATCAAAAATGACCTTAATACAGTTGTGACGAAGGGACATACGTAAATACTTCGACACATCAAAGTTCGACACAGCAGTGGTGAACGTTTTCACCGCTCGGCCCCCTTACCGCCCGCTGTCTTGAGTATGCAGTGTGATATTTAAAGTACATAGCTGTGCAGAGTTGCGTCCCTTAGGAGTGATAAAAACTCATCGTGGGTTCGAGTCCCTGATAATGTTTCTCGGTTTGTCAGCACCGTTTCCGAGCTTTCTGACAAGTGAATAAATGGAGGAATAATTTGTCACCGTCTGTGCGAAACTCATAGCTGTTTGCCACGCCACATCAATAGACATGGGAAGGTCCCAATTAACCAGCAGCCGGGAACGCGGTGAGGGGAACAGTGATAATCGAACCACTCGTTATCCGCCGCAGATATCGACACACAAATACCTGTGATTGATTGCACGGGAGTGCCTAGATTACCCCCAATCAATTGACCAATCACATAGCGCATGCGCCGTGATCCGTTGCGAAATGACAAAAGATTGACAAAAACTCGGGGCGTCTTCTTCTCCCCAGCATTGAGTTACGCCACGAAACAACGGTTGTTTAGGTCCGTGGTTGCACTTTTCGCAATTACGGCACTGACTTTGTAACCTTACACCGCCATATCGCCCGGTATAGATATTTATCAGCCCCCCGCCAGGCACCCTCTTACTTGTAGAACGCAGCTGATGATATCGCCTAGATTGCCTGGACTTAATTAGATATTCAGGTTGACCTTGACCCTGGTCGCTAGTATCAGATTAATCTCCAGGGATTATTATGCCTGTAGATTTAACCCCACACTCTACCCGTCGTGATTAATCAAGGTAATTTGCCATGTATATAATCTAAGGATCCTTTTGGAAATTAGGAAAGAACTTAGCTTACTGTGAATGAAAACGCTGTGATGTGAAAAGCTTATGTACGCTTTCATAAGGCACACACACATCGACACACACACCGACATACACACACATGCATCCACCGACACACACACACACACACACACGCACACACACAAGCACACACATACACACACCAATGCACCCACCGACACATATGTACTCACATTCACAAACACACACACACACACACTCACGCATACACCCACACGCACACACACATCTATACACACAACACACACACGCGCACACACCCTCACACACAGACACACACTCAGCGACTCACAACCGACACACACACACGAAAGAGCGCGCGCGCGCACACACACACACACACACACACACAGACAGACACACACACAGACACACACCATCGCTCGCCTATAAAAGGATTAAATCACTCCCAAGTTGTTAATATCGTCTCTCTCTCTCTCTCTCTCTCTCTCTCTCTCTCTCTCTCTCTCTCTCAGACAACCCCACTGTCTTGTCAGGTTTCTTTGTTAGGATGTGTTCAATAATCACAACAGAGATACAGAGTTGCGTCCCCAAATCTTGTTGATCACGAGTTCGAATCCCAGATTGCACAAATTACGACCGATGGTTTGTTAGCACCAAATCCGTGGTTGGTTCCACATGCACATGCTCCGCATCATTAAACATAAATAAGGGATGCTGTTCATTAATTTGTTCAGAAGGTTTCAGATCAGAAGGCGGGGATTAAGAAATTTGTTTTTGTTTGTTTCTTGTTTGACGCCGCGCTCAGCAATATTTCAGCTATATGACGACGGTCTGTAAATAATCGAGTCTGGACCACACAATCCGGTGATTGTCATCATGAGCATCGATCCACGCGATTGAGATCGATGACATGCATAAACCAAGTCAGCGAGCCTGACCACCCGATCCCGTTAGTCGCCTCTTACGACAAGCACGTGACGCTGTGCTGCTGTTTGAAATGTTAACCAATTTATCCCCATAAGGAAGATAATATATGGATGTCAACTTCTTTATTATGAGGAACACAACGTTTCGGAGTATATGCTTACTCCTTCATCGGGTGGTGTTCCTCATAATAAAGAAGTTGACATCCATATATTCTCTTCCTCATGTGAATCACTTCTAAATGCCTTTCAAAGACCAAATTTATCCCCAGATATGACACCTCAGCGTGTAATCTGAAACCCATAACACAATATCAACCAATCAAATGATCTAAAGGGGCATGTCTATTCACTTAAATGGATATTTGACTATCCACATCAGCTGATCATGTCACAAGGGCTAGCGACAACACAATAATAACATTTGTAGGATTAAAATACAGACGATCCTGGTTCCGCGTGTGGTACATAGCCGGAATTCTTAATCTAAGTCACGGGTGAAAGGTTTAATCGACCTTATGCTGTAAACGATCTGGATTATCATATTTAACCTTTTTTCTGATAAGCGGGTAATTTGTGTAAGATCTTGTGGTTTATCTTGAGGTTAATCATTATTCTGTATACGACCGCATTTGTTCCAAATCAGCTGGCGTTCTTTGATTTTCCAAAGGCCAGGGATTACTGATAGCCTCGTGATAATACCGACTTGCTGACTATAGGACTATTATACCCCCCTCACACACATGCAGTCTTATCACACAGCCAGCGGGCGAGATAACGCTGTATTGCCGAGTGCCTACAACACCTATAACCTCTTGCATACAAAAGCAGTGCCAACTACAACGGTAAATACACGTCTACTCATACTGTTTATTTGTGGGTCGGGTGGCCCTAGGGTCAAAGGCACTGCTGAGTTGCTAGGGTCCTTTGTTGTGGGTTCGAGTCTCAGAATCGCCATTTGTACATTTTCTCTGCTGAGGGAAGATCTTCTCCCAAGTGAAAGCAATGTCTGGGAATAGTGAGTGAGTTGTGTTTAACGCCGCTTTTAACATTATTCCAGTTATATCACGGCGTGTCAGCTTGATGAGGGAGGAAAGCCCGAAGTGATGCAGGTCTCAGACGTTTACCACTTTGGTGAAACCCACGAGCACGGGTATAGTGCTGACAAACTGTCTGGGAATAGGTTTTGCTACTTATTGCATACGTCTGGGAGGTCTTTAGTTGTCTTTAGCCTGTCGTAGAACCGCCTTAACCCTTTCAGGAGCCTTGCCTTGTGGAAGATTATTGTTTGTTTCTGTGTCATATTTATTTATGTTTAATTTGGTATTGATCTGTTGCCTCCATAGTATTGGGGTATTATTCAACATTTACATATAATCTGAGAAGGTACCTTTAATTTTTTCTTTTAATCCTCGAAAGGAGTGAATCCTACTGAGCAACTCATATCTGTATATTTTTGTCAAAAATGTCAAAAACTAAAATGAAAATGTCAAAAACAAAAACGAAAATGTCAAAAATAATATTTCCACCGCAGTGTAAATAGTTTTCACCGCGGTAAAAATATTATCACCACGGTGGAAATAGTTTTCTGCATTTTCATTTTAGTTTTTGACATTTTCGCTTTTGTTTTTGACATTTTCGTTTTTGTTTTTGACATTTTCATTTTAGTTTTTGACATTTTCGCTTCACTTTTCAGCGATTCAATATCTTCTTTATACATGATTTATCACATATTTGTATGACAAATCGTGTTAATTTGCAAAAGGTTACGATAACAGTAAGTGAAATATCAAAATATTGAAAAACAGGCTCCATGTCCCTTATGGACCTCCGTACTATACAGAGAGGGCGTTGGGGTAGCCTAGTGGTTAAAGCGTTCGCCCGTCACGCCGAATGTGTACAATGTGTGAAGCCCATTTCTGGTGTCCCCCGCCGTGATAATGCTAGAATATTGCTAAAAGCGGCGTAGAACATACTCACTCACTCTGTATACAGAATGATAATTGCGCACATATGGTACATGCGCGTGCGCGTGGGTCCACATGTACTTCTCGGACTAATGTCGGTTTATTACTGTTAGCCCATTGAGATACCTTGCCACAGTTTAACATGGATAGCCTACCGTCCTCCGGGCTGACGCTCTAAACACAAGGGGCGGTCGGTAGCCTAGTGGTTAAAGCGTTCGCTCGTCACGCCGAAGACCCGGGTTCGATTCCCGTCATGGGTACAATGTGTGAAGCCCATTTCTGGTGTCCCCGCCGCGATATTGCTGGAATATTGCTCAAAGCGGCGTAAAACCATACTCACTCACTCACTCACTCTAAACACAAGGCCACGGAGGTAGCCAGGGATTCGAACCACGGACTTTCCGTTCTCCGAGACGACGCTCTATCCACAAGACCACGGAGGCGGACATAGGGACATATAAATGAAAATGTTCTTCAGTGAACTTTCTCAGCAATGTTCGATAAGCAAAAGCCAGGTAAACTCTAAGATGAAAGTAGATTAGTGTTGTGATCTGCTGGATAGATGTATATTTCAAAGACCCATTTAATGTTTCACATTATGTTTGCTTTCAGCGATCACGGGACTATCGATGAGAGACACACCTTCAGGAAACAACCACAGGACGCCCGGATATCGACGCCCCGCATCATGAAGGCCCATCCATTATTGAGGAGGAAGCCGACCACACACGTGGAAGGAGACACGTTTGTTCGCTAAGTAACAGCGTGTTGTAACACGGTCCAACCTAGCCACATCTTCACCGTAGCCACATACAGCGTTAACACTGTAATCACGCGGGTTGAGGAAACAGCTGACAAGAACCCGTTCTCAATACATAGTTATACCTCTGTAATCACATCCTCCACGAATACCTAGAAAAAGGACATCTCGTAGCTTACAAGACTATTGGAAAGAACAGTTGGATTGGATTCAGTCGAATTATTCTGTTCAGATAAAATGACCTCTTTCCATGATGCCAGTAGACTGTGAGAATCGTCCTCTGTGTTGAGACGGTTCAGCAAGTGCTCTCAGAAACTTATAATTATCAGTATCTCATTTTAAAGACGTTTGAACTGTGGTCAAAATGCCCAAAGCCACCGGTCTTCAGTTTTTCAGGAAACGCCAGTCTTTGGCCAACTTGGAGTTCGAGAGGCCCCAGAGTCTGTCCTCGGTGTACGAAGCCGTGAAACAGGCCGCGCTGGGTATCGAGGAGCGTCTGTCAATGCTGGAGATGTCCTTCTACGGCCCTGGAAAACACATAGAAGAGGAGGTGAAGAAATGGCTGCCTCAGATAGAAGCCGTCATCAAGCCTGCCCGCTACACGGAGCTGAGTTGTCGCCGACAGGTTGTGGACATCACGGAGCGGGTCCACAACGCTGCGGACAAGCTGATGGTGGACATGCATTGTCTGTCTGCTGTGCATGAGTGTGTCAGGAAGATTCTTACAACCCTAAGGCTTGGCTTCTCTGACATGATTCTCGTCATACAGAAACTGCTGTCGTATACGAATAAATACATGCTGAGCTTCAGTGCCCCTCTTGGAGACTCTTACCTGGAGACAGCTACCAACTATGAAAAACAACGTCAAGAACTGTCACAGGCTATTCAAGTGAATGTGGACAATATTACAGAGATGGCGGATAAATTTGAGCGTGATGAGCTGCATATCAATCACTTCGATTACTGGGTGAAGACGGTCGCTGAGCGTTGTGACTGCATGCATGCGTCGATACTCATGGCATTTCCGGCTGCCTGTGAGAACATCAGGAACGTGTGCGCGGACATCCGGAAGTGGCTGGAGGCGGATAGCTCGTATTCCACCTATCTGATGTTTGATATCGAGGCGCTGGAATCTCAGCGCGAGACTCAGACTAGGAAAGTGCGAGACCTGCAGGTGAAGGTATGCAATACCGAGTACAAGGTGAAGGTCATCAAGAAGGACATCACTGACTGTGATGAGGAGTTGGTTCGAGTCAGCAGCAAGGAGAAGGAGCTGCAGCAGGAGGAGAGTTATCTGATGGTGGCACACCATGATGTGCTGTTTGACCTCGAGATCAAGGACTTCAGGTGAGCTTCTGGACAGATGCTGGTATATCACGTCCTGTTGTCTTTAATTTCATGTTCACTCACACAGTTCCCTTATACAGCTACGTCGAGGGCGCGGATGGCCCAGTCGTCTACGACGTCGCAATTCGCTGTGCAGAGTTGTGTCCTTCAGTTACGGTTCGAGTCTGGACCAGATAATCCAGTGACCGACCAAAGCATTTGGGATACTTGCGTTGGGCGACAAAAAGCATTTTTTTGCTTAAATCGGCATGTTTGTCCCAATTGAAAAAAAGTACTCGTAAAAAATTATATAAATACATCTAGTTAAGTAATTCTGCATCATACCGGGGAGGGGCGGTCGGGTAGCCTTGTGGTTAAATCGTTCGCTCGTCACGCCGAAGACCCGGGTTCGATTCCCGACATGGGTACAATGTGTGAAGCCCATTTCTGGTGTCCCCCGCCGTGATATTGCTGGAATATTGCTAAAAGCGGCGTAAAACCATACTCACTCACTCACTCACTCATGCTTTTACAGGATAGAGGACATGAAGCGCCAGTCCACGAAGAACAACAGCCGTGAGTTCAACGAGGCCTATGAGCGTCTGTTGAGTGAGATTAACGCGCTGAAGGACAAGAAGCCTGCCATAGACCGGAAGTTGGGAGATATTAACAAGAAGATGGCGTGGATCCGGGAGAAGCAAGAGAAGGCTCGGCAGCGGTCCAGTCAGCTGGAGGATGCCAAGACCGACTTGAGACATGCCAAGAAGGTGAGCTAACACCGAGCTGTTTGTTTGTTGTTTAACGCCGCACTCAGCAATATTCCAGCTATATGACGGCGGTCTGTAAATAATCGAGTCTGGCCAACACAATCCAGTGATTGTCATCATGAGCATAGATCCACGCGATTGAGATCGATGACATGCACAAACCAAGTCAGTGAGCCTGACCACTGGTCCGGAGTCAAACAGCAACAACGCACGCACGCACGCACGCACGCACGCACGCACGCACGCACGCATTAACACAATAACACACGCACCCACTCACGCACGCACGCACAAACACATTAACACAATAACACACGCACCCACTCACGCACGCACGCACGCACAAACACATTAACACAATAACACACGCACCCACTCACGCACACACGCACCTGTTGGTCCAGTAATTATATACACACCCTGGTTCTGTGTTTTCCACCAGACGGCGCGGAAGGCGGAGGTAGAGCTGGAGAGAGTGGAGACATGTCTGACAAAGGTCAAGGACATTCACCGCATCAAAACAAGTCCCGAAACCCTCAAGAAAATCTTCCACAAGCTGCCCTTCACTCCTCGGAAGTTAAACGCCTCGAAGAAAACGGGTACGTAGATAATGTAATGGCTGTATAGAAAGGGAAATGGCAAGTAAGTGTACATGTATAGGAGTATACGGGATTAGTCATGTCACCAGGGAAATGTTAGCAAGTACATCATACTGCAAATAACCTCAGACCAGGGCAAAAGCCTCCGTCAAACAGTTCTCAAGCCGCCAAGAAACTGACCCTACCTAAACCCTTAACCTTTACATGATGAGTGAGTGAGTGGGTGAGTTGGGTTTAACGCCGCTTTTAACAGTATTCTAGTTATATCGCGGCGTGTCAGCTTAATGTGGGAGGAAAGCCCAGAGTGATGCAAGTCTCAGACGTTTACCACTTCAGTGAAACCCACGAGCACGGGTATGGTGCTGACAAACCTAGAAACATAATCAGGGCGAACCAGATTCGAACCCACAATCATAGGTTTCTGGCGTGCCCAAGGAACGCAACTCTGCACAGCGAATCGCGGCGCCTTAGACGACTGGGCCACCCTCGCCCCCTGTACTGCATTAGTATACCCCCAACCTCCCTATCCCCCGAACCCCCCATCCCCCGACCTCCCTCGTATGATGCAGAATTACTGTAATTAGATGTATTGATGTAAGTTTTTATGAGTATTTTTTTTCAATTGGGACAAACATGCCGACTTTATCAAAAACTGTTTATTGTCGCCCAACGCAAGTATCCCAAATGCTTTGATCGGTTACTGGATTATCTGGTCCAGACTCGAACCGTAACTAATAATTCACTGACGCCATATGCTTCGGTGTCTCTGGTACGCACACACACTCACACCGACACACACACACTCACACCGACACACACACACACTCACAAACATAAGACCCACACCCTTACACCCACATACACGCAAACACACACACACACACACTCTCTCTTACAATCACAACCACACACATTCTCTCTCACGCACTCACGCACACACACACAGACATTCTCTCTCTCTCTCTTGCGCACACACACACACACACACACACACACACACACACACACACACACACACACACACACACACACACACACACACACACACACACAATCACACTCACACATTTCCTCTCACGCACAAACACACTCACATCGATACACACACCGACACACACACACTCACAACAAAAGCCCACAGAACCCACAGCCACATACACCCAAACACACATACACACTCACACTCTCACAATCACATCCACACACACATTCTCTCTCACAATCACACACACTCACACCGACACACACGCGCGCGCGCGCGCACGCACGCACACACACACACACACATTCTCTCACGCACACACACACTCACACCAACACGCACGCGCGCGCACACACACACACACACGCACATACACACACACGCACACACGTTCGCTCGCCTGTAAAAGGATTAATTTACTCCCAAGTTATTATGGTTTCTCCCTCCCAGACCACCCCAATATCTTGACGTTTCTTTTTTAGGATGTGTTCAATTATCACAACCGAGTCACCGAGTTAATAATCCTGAACGCGACGTTAAACCCCATTTCACTTCATCACCTGTGTATGTTGTTTGTACTTCCCCAGATAAACTAGAGCGAGCCTGCCGCATCACTGCCGCCTGGGTGGAGGGGGACTGGGTCAAGCTGTACCGCTCCCTCCCGTTCTACCCGGCCCGGGGGGAGGAGACGGTGGGCGCTGACATCGACAACATCTTCAAGACGTACATGCGGCACACGGTGGAGGAACAGGCCAAACAGGCACTATGTCGCTGGCGGCGGATGCACACGCGGGCAAAGTTGGAGGACCTCGTGGACACTTTACATGAAATTCGGCGGAGGGATATTGTTGACAAAATTGAGGAAGATTTTAATGCGAGGAAAAAGCCTCACATTCAGACGCCTCTTGTCAGGACTGTTCACTTCCCCAAACTTCCGGTTAGGTAGATCTTCATAACCCTTACAACCGGTCTGTTGTGTTGAGCACATTTGCATCAGGAGACGGTGACGTCACTTCCGGGGAAGGGTGTTTGACGTTTCCTCGGATCAGGTGAATGGGAGTGCGTTGTCAACATGTCCTACAGTTTCAGCAGTTGCGAAAATCAGTGTGAGACCTCACCTAGAGCGGGGACAGATGGTATTGTTTGCGTAACGCGAATCCATCTGAAGAATATAAAGATTTTTTCGACCTCACAATCTAACCCTTGTTTTTGATTATACTGAATGGAAGCGAATATTTGAAGGTGTCTCATGGGTTATTGTTCCGTTGATGAAAGTGCGGCGTCAAATGTGCACGTGAGTTGATTTTACCACCGCTTCGAACAATAATGTTACAGTGAGTCAGCTGAATGCTGGAATATACTCGAGGTAAAGTATTAACAAACCCGCTCATTCTTGCACGCGTAAGGGACTCAGTTGTGCCCAGTGAGCTAAGGTACCTCAGACGACAGTGCTGTCAGCTCCCTTCGCCCTTAGCCTCAAACTAGACAGTGTAGGTAAGAAATATTTTGTAGGAAACCAGGCAAAATTCCTCCAACACATAATTGCTAGGGAAAGCCACCATAATGCCAAACTCCTTGTACTGACAAACCTGGATTCGAACTCAGCAACTCTGCACAGCGAATTTAGGCGTTTGCGACATGTGGGTCGGGTCATGCGACATCAGGAATGTGCTTCATCTACTTGCGTTCATTCAGTGCCTTAGGTTGGAGTGTTTGGTAGTCGAACTTTACCTATCCATTTGTTTAAAAAAAGTGATGAGAAATAAGACAACATTTTACCGAGGCCTATTGTAAGTTTCCATGAGTCAGTACGACTCCGCTAAGATGAGTTAGCCAATGTTCCACTTATTTCTGATAAAAGAACCCATGCAGAACAGTTGACCGCCGTGGATGGTGTGCATTGTTTCTGTTTGGTGAGACTCCACATTGCGCACGCGTCAGCGAGAATCCTTGTAACAAACGTTGACCAATCAGAGAACTGTGTGCTGTCCTCGCACGTGTTGTATTGTCTCAATAAACTACCACAAGTTGACCTATCTGTATTTTAGACTTTTCTTTTAGAGTTGTCAAGGTAACCAATATTGTGATTAGATAAGGATTGACGGCCGTTACATCTTGAAAATGTACTTCACAAACATGCAGTATTTGTGCAGGTGTGTGTGTGTGTGTGCGTGCGTGCGTGCGTGCGTGCGTGCGTGCGTGTGTGTGTGTGTGTGTGTGTGTGTGTGTGTGTGTGTGTGTGTGTGTGTGTGTGTGCGTGTGTGCGTGCGTGTGTGTGTCTTTGCATGTGTATCTGTGTAAATGAAAATGTACGTTACACATGTGTGTGTCTTTGTGATTGTGTGTGTGCGGGTAAGTGTCTGTGGGTCTCTCTGAGTGTGTATGTGTCTCTCAATTGTGTGTGTGTGTGTGTGTGTGTGTGTGTGTGTGTGTGTGTGTGTGTGTGTGTGTGTGTGTGTGTGTGTGTGTGTGTGTGTGTGTGTGTGTGTGTGTGTGTGTGTGTGTGTGTGTCTGCGTGCGTGAGTGTGTGAATGCGGACATGGCAGTACACCCTGATGGTAGACATGATGGTTCACAACCTGAGCACCAGGAAGATCCGGGGTAGAATAGGTCTTCAGCAACCCATGCTTGCCGTAAAAAGCGACTTTGCTTGTCGTAAGAGGCGACAAACGGGATCGGGTGATGCATGTCACCGTATCCCAATTGCGTGGGTCCATGCTTATGATCACTGGATTGTCTGGTCCAGGCTCGATTATTTACAGACCGCCGTCATATAGCTGAGTGCGGCGTTAAACAACAAATAAACAAAAAAAACAAAAAAACTAGCGAACAAACAAGAATCACAGCCTGATGTACCGAATGTCTTCCCTTCTTGAAATAAATATGTTTGACCTTTACAATTGTATGCCACTGTGTAATCTCGTGTATCTCGGACAAGTCATGCCACGCTATTTCGAGGTACGCTTATCACCAAACTATCTGGCAGGCACGACAATGTTGAATCAATGTTGAATCAATGCCATGCGTCAACGTGGTATACGTTAGAGTGGTTGATGTGACGTGCATGATCGTGTGTGTGTGTGTGTGTGTGTGTGCGTGTGTGCGTGCGTGCGTGCGTGCGTACGTGCGTGCGTGTGTGTGTGGCTGTTTGTACTAGTCCGTACGGATGCCGATTTATAGTGCTAGCTCACTGAGATACCATGCTGCAGTTTAACATGGATACCCACGCAGACACATTATACTGACTTCGAGCTGACCAATCCTTGTTTTTGCCCCTTAATGCCGAGCGCCAGACAGGGTAACAACAAGTACCATCTTTTAACGTCTTTTGGTATGACGCGGCCGGGGATCAAACCCCGGATCTTCCGCTCTCCGGGTGGACGCTCTACCACTATACCATGGAGGCGGTCTAAAATGGTTCCCGAGGCAAGGGAGTTAACTGACTGTACAAGTCCACTTACTTACTTACTTACTTTGGAGATTTAACGTGCGCTTTCCGACTGATGCGTATTTCGCACACGGGAGACAAGTCCAGTGGAAATTGGTCTTTTATAATCAGTTAACTCCCTTGCCTCGGAAAATGCGGAGCTCCTAACTCCTAAGTAGTTTCGCGAAATCGCGAGATCTCGTCATTCTCCATACCGGTAAAGCCAACACGCTCGGAGTATGTCCAGACGAACGACAAGGCTTGCGATTGTGTGCACAAATGACAGTGTTTTAACACTGCTTGAAAAGAAATCACAACCTTTGAGTAAATCCTTTACATGGAAAAACTCAACGTTAGCAGTCAAGACAAAGTGTCCCTCAACTAAGTAAGTGCAATCCATGGCACAGTTATATTCATGGAAAAAGTCTGTGAGCACTATCTTTGGAACGTCGATGATATAACCCGTGAAGATTCCGGGGTAGAATAGGTCTTCAGCAACCATGCTTGCCGTAAAAGGTGACTATGCTTGTCGTAAAAGGCGACTAACGGGATCGGGTGGTCAGGCTCGCTGACTTGGTTGATGCATGTCATCGATCCCAATTGCGTGGATCGATGATAATGATATTAATCACTGGATTGTCTGGTCCAGACTCGATTATTTACAGACCGCCGTCATATAACTGGAATACTGCTGAGTGTGGCGTTAAACAACAAACCAACCAACGTCGATGATATGGCATAATATAGTCTTCTGGGACGTCCCTCGAATGGTCTCCTAATATCGAGTAACAAATGTCGGTTCTTAACAAAACGAATTAGGAGTCACTGTCTTCCCACAATAGGGACTTTACAGCACAAAAACTGCATTATCTCCCTTGATTCATCAGACATCTGCTCTCCTCGTCCTGTCTACCAACTAAAGAAAAAGAAAAAGTCTTAAACACATAGCGAAAACCATTGTTGCGGCAAGAATGACATTATACTTATACTCTCTCAACAATCAAAGTTTATTTCTATAATTCGTTTGCACAAAACATTGCATAACGTTGCGGCGTTATTACAATATGTAAGATAGCTCCGCGATAAATCGCAAAGAACAATGGAGAACAAAGGGTGGATTATTTCACAATAAAACATTGTTCTATCATGACGTCATTTCTGGAGAATCGAACAACCGTTTGCAACTTGATGACGTCGTAAATAGGACGACGTTATTTTTGAGAGGGGAGTGTCTATTGAGTTCCAAATAGATGTAGCTGGACAGCGCAGATAAACGCTGCGCCCCTCGTGGTTTATTCTCTCTGCAGTGTTTTATTGTACGATAAACAGCTCCCACTTATCGTCTATTTCTTAAAATAACGACGTATCGTTGACTATTAATTAACGGTAGCTGATGAAGAGGTTCAGAAAACTACAAATAGCAACAGAATCTTTGCTTAATAAACAAATATCCACATTTGTTTAAATTAACAATTACTGCAATCATTACTGCAAAATATTAGGCAGCTACCTGGGTTTGAACCCTGAACCACAGTACTGTTAACCCAATTCTGCACTTACAACGATAATGATTAACTAACCTTAGTTATGAAATAAAATGTGGATTTTCAGGATACATGCGAGACGTCCGAGCTGTTTCGTTTAAATCAATTATTCAAGGTCAATTTTGATTCTTGTGGTTTAGAAAACTATAATTTTATATTTAAGAAATAAACGAGTGGGAGTTGTTTATCGTACAATATAAGGTACGACAATCGGTATAAGGAGAAAAAGGTTCATGTAGTCGACGTGAGGGTTGTGAGAATACGGCCCGACATTTCCGAGGTAGGATTCTATTCAGGGAGTCATCATCATTAAAATTTCGGTAAATAATTTTAAAGCTTGTACATTTCGTCATCATCCTTAAAGAGTCTGTAAATAATGTTGATATGTCATATAAGAAATAAACGACGAGTGGGAATTGTTTATCGTACAATAAAGCACTGCACTGCACGACCTCTACTGCGACCTTACTCACAACGCCCTCTATTGCGACCTCACTCACAACGCCCTCCATTGCGACCTCACTCACAACGCCCTCTACTGCGACCTCACTCTCACCGCTCTCTACTGCCACCTTACTCACAACGCTCTCTACTGCGACCTTACTCACAAAGCCCTCTACTGCGACCTTACTCACAACGCCCTCTACTGCGACCTCACTCACAAAGCCCTCTACTGCGACATCACTCACAACGCCCTCTACTGCGACCTTACTCTCAACGCTCTCTACTGCGACCTTACTCACAACGCCCTGTCTCACCACCACTTGTCATCACGCTTAGCACACCAATCACCATCCATCGCCATCCACCATCCCCCATCCCCCATCACCTTTCACATCTCACTACCGACAACAACCATCAGCATCCACCAACAACCAACAGCATCCACCAACAACCAACAGCATCCACCACCAACAACAACAACATCCACCAACAATAGCCACCGACAACAACCAACAGCATCCACCAACAACATCCACCAACAACAACCAATAACAATTAACCAACAACATCAAACATCAACAACAACATCCACCAACAAAAAACCAAAACAACATCCACCAACAACCAACAACATCCACCACCAACAACAACCAACAACATCCACCACCAACCACAACAACCAACAAAAACCAATACCAACAACCAACATCCCACAACAACCACCAACATCCACCACGAACAACATCCACCACCAACTACAACAACCAACAAAAAACAATACCAACCACCAACATCCGCCAACAACCAAAAACATCCTACCACCAACAACCAACAACATCAACTAACAACATTCAACATCCAACACCAACAACAGCCAACAACATCCACCAACAACAACAACCAACAACATCCACCAACAACAACCAACACCATCCACCAACACCACCAGCCAACAACATCCAACAACAACGACCAACAGCATCCACCAATACCACCAACCAACAACATCCACCACCACCAACAACATCAACCACCAACAACCAACAACATTCACCAATAACCTATCACGACCAGCGAACATCGCCGCTACCTGGAACATCGCCCCACACAACCGAAAACAACGTCCTATCCACCACCAGCTAGCATCACATTGATTAATCACAAACCACAACAATGTCAACCAACCACTTGCAAATCGTGCACTAGGGCTAAATGTCCTAATATGCACTGAATGAACCTTAGTATGCCAGTGGACAGTGAATACATATATATTGAGTTAATTGTGTTCGATTTAACAAAAGGAGAAAGCAACTATAAACGTTCAAATTATCATGCAACATTGTAATTTGCATGGTAGGTCGCCTAGAGGTACTTATAAATGGTATATTAACAAACCAATGCCACACGAAATCCAAGATGGCCGCCATTTCCCCAATTTTGCTTTCAAATATCCATTATTTGCATGTCGCTTGATAGTTGAATGGTTTTAATATTCTTATGTATGGCAGCCATCTTGGAATATTAATGTGTAGTTTAATTTTAAATTCCGCTACATTCTGCACTCAGAATCTGTCGCATTAAAGGGTTTTGCTAATGTTCAGGGATTCCTTCATATGATTTTCGGGGGCACGGGTGGCCGTTTAAGGCGCCGCGATTCGCTGTGCAGAGTTGCGTCCCTTGGGCACGCCAGAGACCTATGATTGTGGGTTCGAATCCCGGTTCGACCCAATGATGTTTCTAGGCTTGTCAGCACCATTGCCGTGCTCGTGGGTTTCACCGAAGTGGTAAACGTCTGAGACCTGCATCACTTCGGGCTTTCCTCCCACATTAAGCTGACACGACGCGACATAACTGGAACACTGTTAAAAGCGGCGTTAAACCCAACTCACTCACTCACCTTTGACGAGAAAAAACAAATCAGATTCTCACCACTATTTGACTGATACGGTGTCGGCAGGCACTGGTTGTTCTCTAGCGTTGACGTATAACTGCATATTATGGAACGGGGTTTGTGGTGTTAATTTTGAGAAAAGTATTCACGATATTTAGTGTTGATGGAGCTAAAGATGAGGTCATCACGTGTCAGTTTGCGGCAATGAAAACATGTGAAGAGAACTGTGTGAAATATTGACAGATGATGATGAAATCTAGGCCTGTGCCGCTATCTTTGAGGAAAGTGTGTGTACATCGACATATGTCCTTCAACGAAGTCAAGATAACCTTCCGCGCTACCTGTGCGGCACCATTTCTTGATTACAGGTGTGTCTTTGATCGGATCAGCTTGAGGACGCTACCTGTGTACATCGCCGACAATGTTGATATATACACTTTCCGCTTTCTGCGCCTCTATGCTGGTGACAGGTAACAATCTAACCAACCACATTCAAGAATGTATATACAGTTAACTACGTTTATAACGAACACGCTTTTAACGGACTGACGGATTTAACGAACTTATTTTTTAGTCCCAGCCATTTGTTGAAAATATGCTGTATATATGCTTATAACGAACTACGGTTATAACGAACTAAAATAAGTGGTAACTTTGAGTTCGTTATAACCGTAGTTTACTGTTTGTCTTATACCGGACATAACATTATGTTTCCGGCTGTGAGTGGCCCAGTCGTCTAAGGTGCCGCGATTCGCTGTGCAGAGTTGCCTCCCTTGGGCACGCCAGAAACCTATGATTGTTGGTTCGAATCCAGGTTCGCCCTGATTATGTTTCTAGGTTTGTCAGCACCATACCCGTGCTCGTGGGTTTCACCGAAGTGGTAAACGTCTGAGACCTGCATCACTTCGGGCTTTCCTCCCACATTAAGCTGACACGCCGCGATATAACTGGAATAATGTTAAAAGCGACGTTAAACACAACTCACTCACTCACTGACTGGACATCATACATTAAACATATCCTATTAATATTATACATGTAGGTTGTACAAATAGGTAATTATCAGGATTTGCTGACGTCAGTGGACATAATCTGATTTATAGGCAACTGTTTGCCCCTGGGGTGGGGTGGGGTGTTGTTTTCACCCCCGGGTCAACACCTGGGGTTAGAAATTTGCGTATATTTATGTATGGTATGTATAGTATGGTAATCCCGAAAGGGTCAAAGCTCACCATGTTATAATGTTGGTACAATTAAAAAAAACCATCCGGGGTTTGATTTAACCTCAGGTGACAACATTAAGTAAACAAGGTCAGGTTTCCAACTTGCAGCTAGCAACTGTTCGCCCGTGACCTTCACTGGGGGTCACTGTGACCTACACTGGGGGTCACTGTGACCTACACTGGGAGTCTCTGTGACCTACACTGGGGGTCTCTGTCCACATGTAGACATTTAACAGTGGAAAAAAACATTGAACGCTGACCTTGACATTCGGAAATGTTCGTCGAACGTTTGTGGTGCGAAGTGTCATTTTTGTAGGTCAGCATTTATAACAATTGTCATCCTTGTAGGTCAGTAGTTATAACAATTGTCGCCCTTGTAGGTCAGCAGTTATAATAATTGTCGTCCTTGTAGGTCAGCAGTTATAATAATTGTCGTCCTTGTAGGTCAGCAGTTATAATAATTGTCGTCCTTGTAGGACAGCAGTTATAATAATTGTCGTCCTTGTTGGTCAGCAGTTATAATAATTGTCGTCCGTGTAGGTCAGTAGTTATAACAATTGTCGTCCTTGTAGGTCAGTAGTTATAACAATTGTCGTCCTTGTTGGTCAGCAGTTATAACAATTGTCGTCCTTGTAGGTCAGTAGTTATAACAATTGTCGTCCTTGTAGGGCAGTAGTTATAACAATTGTCGTCCTTGTAGGGCAGCAGTTATAACAATTGTCGTCCTTGTAGGGCAGCAGTTATAATAATTGTCGTCCTTGTAGGTCAGCAGTTATAATAATTGTCGTCCTTGCAGGTCAATAGTTATAACAATTGTCGTCCTTGTAGGTCAGCAGTTATAACAATTGTCGTCCTTGTAGGTCAGCAGTTATAATAATTGTCGTCCTTGTAGGTCAGCAGTTATAATAATTGTCGTCGTTGTAGGGCAGCAGTTATAACAATTGTCGTCCTTGTAGGACAGCAGTTATAATAATTGTCGTCCTTGTAGGGCAGCAGTTATAACAATTGTCGTCCTTGTAGGTCAGCAGTTATAATAATTGTCGTCGTTGTAGGGCAGCAGTTATAATAATTGTCGTCGTTGTAGGGCAGCAGTTATAACAATTGTCGTCCTTGTAGGTCAGCAGTTATAACAATTGTCGTCCTTGTAGGGCAGCAGTTATAACAATTGTCGTCCTTGTAGGTCAGCAGTTATAATGATGAGTTCATAGTAGTTGGTTGGTTGGTTGGTTGGTTGTTTAACGCCACACTCAGCAATATTACAGCTATATGGCGGCGGTCTGTAAATAATCGAGTCTGGACCAGACAATCCAGTGATTGACATCATGAGCATCGATCAACGCAATTGGGATCAATGACATGCATCAACCAAGTCAGCGAGCCTGACCACCCGATCCCGTTAGTCGCCTTTTACGACAAGCATAGTCACCTTTTACGGCAAGCATTGGTTGCTGAAGACCTATTCTACCCCGGAATCTTCACGGGTCGAATTCATAGTAGGCGGATGGGATGAAATAGCCTTGATCTCTGTAGATTGATGGCCTGCGGCGGCGAATGTGGACTGCTTCTGTTAGTTTTCTTTTAGTAAAATTATCGAGGTTGTTGGAGAAGATTTGGACGTTGTCCCAGTTGATGTTGTGATTAGGACAGTTGCTGATATGGTCCGAGATGGCTGAGTGGTCCTGTGGAGGACAACTAACTTGTCAGCTGGGATTTCCAGATATCATGACCCTGCTCATGTAATCATGTCAACATTTTACTCCCAGGAGTTAAACCTGACTAAACCAAACAATTAACCTCAGGGGAAAACATGTAGACTAAGGTTGAGGTTGTACAGGAAACAAAACCTCCGAAGTTTCAGTCAGAAATGGTTTCGGCTCCATGCGCTGTTGGTAAAGTATGGCGTGTTCCTGGTAGGAAGGCGTGTCCACTGCAGTACATTCTTCAGCGGAAGGCGTGAATGAGTATGTTTTGACGCCGCTTTTAGCAATATTTCAGCATTATTACGACGGGGGACACCAGAAATGGGCTTCACACATTGTACCCATGTCGGGATTCGATCCCGGGCCTTCGGCGGGACCAGCGCACGATTTTACCACTAGGCTACCCGACTGCCCCTTCACGGAGGGAGGGCCTCTTCTTGTGTATATATGTACGCTGTGAGACTCGTGACAATTACAATGAAACCATCGTCTGACTAAAGTATATTGGAACTATTTAAGGGGAAGGTGTGTCATTAAATCATCATCTCTGCTCCACGATAATGACGCCTTTGGTGGTCAAAGTGTGGATTGCCACGATCAGACGTATATATTTATCATTGTAGTTAATTGTTAAATATTACCTGTTTTTTCCTGCTCGGAATGGGGTAAGATGTTAGTAACAATTAACTGATATGATTCAACAATTATATTGAAACACGTTCGTGTTTTGTGTCTACAGCTGCGGAAGCGGCAGATCCTGTTAGCCTCACAGATGTGATAAAGGTAAATAATCCACAACTGAAAGTATGTTACTTGTCATTGTGGGAGTGTGTGTGGTGTGTGTATGTTGTTTGTGTGGAGTGGAGCTGTGTGGGTGGGTGGGTGAGGGGGCGGTTGGTATGTGTGGTGTTGGTGTGTGTGGGTGGGGATATGGGTCTGTGGTGTGTGGGTGGGGTGGGTGATGAAAGGCACCGAAATGATGACTTGATTAACCCAACTGACCTCCAGCCCCAATCACAGCCTAAGTAGCGGAATTCAATTCAGTCATTTATCATGATATTAATTTAATATCATGTTTAGTGATGACCTCACTGTCGATAGAAAAGGTTGATTTCCATCAATCAACGACCATGTGATCGGCTTCGCCTAATGCTACACCGTACAAATGATCAACAGACAACACATAAAGCTAAACTGTAAGCCGTGTAAAGAAAGGTCGGTTCCCTGTGAACATAACCAATACCTACGAAGCACTTGGGAATTTAATATGAAAGACGTATACAGTCCAATGGAAACCCATTCCTTATAAACAATAACAACCGTCCTCGTAGAAGTAATGATTACCGTTTATTGTTTTATCCTCTCACCCCATTCCTCTTTCAGCTTCAGATGCCTTGTCCTATATTTGAATGCATGTACCTCGCGTGTCCGAGCGGTCAGTATAAAACTAACTACGTCACCATCAATGGCCGCCAGTGCCCCTCGTGCCAGACATGTGTGGATACAGCTTCAATAACTGCCAGGAAAATATCGGTAAGATCGTCAGGAGCCGTCTATATATATCCGTAAGATCGTCAGGTACTGGCTATAAATATCGATAAGATGGTCAGGAACTGGCTATAAATATCGGAAAGAGCATCAGGAACTGGCTATAAATATCGGTAGGATCGTCAGGATCTGTCCGTAAATATCTGTAAGATCATTAGGAACTGGCTATAAATATCGGTAAGATCGTCAGGAACTTGCTATAAATACCGGTAAGATCGCCAGGAACTGGCTATAAATATCGATAAGATCATTAGGAACTGTCCGTAAATATCGGTAGAAATCATCAGGAACTGGCTATATATATCCGTAAGATCGTCAGGAAATGGCTATGAATATCGGTAAGATCATCAGGAACTGAGTATGAATATCGGTAAGATCGTCAGGAACTGGCTATAAATATCAATAAGATCATCAGGAACTGGTTATAAATATCGGTTAGATCGTCAGGAACTGGCTATAAATATCGGAAAGATCATCAGGAGTTTTCTATAAATATCGATAAGATCATGAGGAACTTGCTATAATTATCGTTGAGATCGTCTGGAGCTGTCTGTAAATGTCGGTAAGATCATCAGGACTGTCTATTAATATCGGTAAAATCGCCAGGAAATGTCTATTACTATGTGTAAGGTCATCAGGAACTGTTTATAAATATCGGGATAATGGCCCAGGTCAATAGAGCGATCTTAGCGCTTTGCGATCCAGCACCCAGGTGGGCTTAAAGCCGACACCGGGGGCACGGGTGGCCCAGTCGTCTAAGGCGCCGCGATTCGCTGTGCAGAGTTGCGTCCCTTGGGCACGCCAGAAACCTATGATTGTGGGTTCGAATCCCGGTTCGCCCCGATTATGTTTCAGCACCATACCCGTGCTCGTGGGTTTCACCGAAGTGGTTAACGTCTGAGACCTGCATCACTTCGGGCTTTCCTCCCACATTAAGCTGACACGCCGCGATATAACTGGAATACTGTTAAAAGCGGCGTTAAACCCAACTCACTCACTCACTCACTTAAAGCCGACACCACTGACCCAGGGCTGCGCAGCACATCAGAGGGTGTTTCATTTCCGACATTCAGGCATAAGAGAATCAGTTCAGGAAGTTATTGAATAATAATTCAAGGTATAATAATCTTATTGGACGTCTGTGTTGTATGTTTAATGGGTGTCAGTTTTCATAATGTACGTACTGGAAAGAAAAAGCGTCGGCAACAAGCATTAAAACACATCTGTGACGTCATTCTATTGTTTGAATGCTCCATCACTTTTCAGGAATGGAGAGTTGTTTGCCAACTATACATTATCTTGAACCAACATTTGAATTAATTTCAACTTGGAACAGCCGGAACTATTTTTACATTTATTGACAAGTAAATCATTTCGATTTCTTTCCGAAAACATGTGTCGCCAGCGGGGTTCGAACCCGCATCGTTTGATTAGAGAAAGTGAAACCTCACCTTCAGCGGCACAAGAAGTATGGTGTGAAATTAACTATTTAAATATTTTCATAATTTTGCATAATGATTTAAAGCTCAAAATAATTTGTTTATAATTTGTGTTGGAGCAGGTTACCTGCAACGATGTTCATAGTTATAGCAATTAGATTTACCTTTGACGAGAAAAAAAAAAAAAATCGGGTAATATATATATATATCCTTGTTCGGGGCTCTATATTCCTATTATTCCCGTCAGCATGTATTAACAATGTGCAAGCGATTGATTAATACTAGTTTAGGACGAAACGAAACTATGAAGTGCCGTGTACCATGCATTGTAAATGTCAGCTCGCGACGGAGCTTGGCACACGTGCAACGGCGACAGAGACCGCATTCTTCGTGCATCGCGCAAGGGCGACTCACGCAATATAAATACAGACAACAAAGAGTTCTGGTATATTTTTCAAATATTTTCCACAACAGAATATTTTGTCACAGTGTAAAAGTAGGGATGAGTTTTAAGTAGGGGAATATCCTTGTAACTCTCCATTCCTTAAAACCAATGGGCCTCGTCCCCTGCGGGACCTCTGATCCATTATTTTTAAGGAATGGAGAGTTACTCGTAACAATGACGCGTGTCTGTCGGGGAAGATAAATGCAAATGAAAGTAAAACGGAGATCCGGACACCCCCGATTTTCGAGGGCAGCAAGAAGCAAAAATCTCTTTTGTGGGATCAAAAATATAAATGGCTACCGCTGACGCGATTACATTTGTGACCAACTCGTGTTATTCTGGGACAAGCCGAATAGAGACTCGTGCCCCTCTCGTGGCCATTTTTGCGACTGGGTTCCGTCCTAGCGCAAACGGGCATACCTAAATCAATTGTCAACTGGTTGCGTAATGGTTCAAATACATATCACCATATATTATATATATTTCAGATGCAATTTAAAGCATATCTGTACATGCGGAATTATACAGTATCAGTGAACACATTTAACCGTGTCTTGGGTATATTTTTAGAGGCAAGACATATGTAAAATCAAAAATTATTTCTGAGGGATTCTTTGGCGAAGAATTTGAAATCGAGCATTCTGATTCCTTCGTTGTATTTTCACTCGTAACATTCATCGATAGGGGGACAAGTCTTCTTGCAGGTTACGGAAAGGGGCGAGTGGTGACGAATGACACGATTAACCTTGGTTTCATAATGTATGTTACTTCTATTTATACGGTTGGCCCAGTCGCCGGAATTCGATTTGGAGAGTTGCGATCCTTACGCGTGCCACAAACTAATGATCGTCGGTTCGAATCCCGGTCGGACCTGATTATTTTTCTTGGTTTGTCAGGGGGCGGTCGGGTAGCCTAGTGGTTAAAGCGTTAGCTCGTCACGCCGAAGACCCGGGTTCGATTCCCGACATGGGTACAATGTGTGAAGCCCATTTCTGGTGTCCCCCGCCGTGATATTGCTGGAATATTGCTAAAAGCGGCGTAAAACCATACTCACTCACTCACTCACTTGGTTTGTCAGCACCATTTCCACGCTCGTTGGTTTTAGCAAAGTGGTAAATGTCTAAAACTTGCATTACTTCGGGCTTTTCCCCCACATTAAGCTGACACGCTTTTTATAACTGAAATATTCAAAGCGGCGAAAAATAAAAGAAACAAAACCCCTTCCATATTCCTAAAAAAAATATCTGCTAAAAGCACAGTCGATTGTATGATTCCGACTATATCTTGATTGTACGATTCCGACTATATCATGATTGTACGATTCTGACTATATCATACGCCCAACTCTCTCACTCACTCATTCTATCTTATCCTTCAGCCAAATCTTTTGCCGTGTCCTATTTTCGAGTGCAAGTTCTGCCCAAGTGGTAATTACGAGCCAAACCACATCACCGTGAATGGCCAGTCTTGTCCGGCGTGCGGCATCTGTCTGGACAGCCATATTCTATCGGGCAGGGACATAGAGGTAACAGTAATTGTTATCACGTGTTTTGCAATATGAAACTATGCGTCCTCCTATATGTAATTGGGGTAGTGGTGTTGCTTCGTGGTTAAAACGTTCGCTCATCACGTTGAGGCCCGGGTTAGATTCCCGACATGGGTACAATGCGTGAAGCCAATTTCTGGTGTCCCCCGCCGTGATATTGCTTGAATATAGTTAAAAACCATACTCACTCACTCACAATATGTAACTACGTTTTCTGCAGGATGTTGAGTGTCCAGCCCTCATGTGCGCAGCGACCAATGAATGTGACCAGGCTGACCTCGTCGTCAGCTACTTCGACTTCAACGGCAAAGAATGTCCCGGATGTAAAATGTGCCCGATGTAGAGTGTTGCATGGAGATATACACTGGACAAATACAATATAAATATAATATAAATACATATGTATGACCGAGTTGTTGTCCCTAGAAACAGATACACCATTTGTGTCAGACGATTTGTTCTCTGAAGACACATGTACGACAAAAATACGTGTTAGCGACCCAGTCGTTATCTCAGATGGTTCTCTTTGTGTTATATTGTACCCCTGTAGCGTTGTTACCTGTCTGTAGAGATAGTCCGGAAAGAGGAAGGTCCGGGGTTCGATCCCCGGCCGCGTCATACCCAAAAAACGTTAAAAGATGGTATTTGTTGTTACCCTGTCTGGCGCTTGGCATGAAGGGGCTCAAACAAGCACAGGTCGGTTCGGAGTCAGTATACTGTGTCTGAGTGGGTATTTATGTTAAACTGTGGCATGGTATCTCTGTGGGCTGGTACTATAAAATCGGCGTCAGTCCGCTATGTAAGTGAACTTATCTTGGACGCGACGTTTAACCCCATTTCACCTCACCTCACAAACCAGAGAGGGGCAGTGCAGGCACATACAACTAGACAAGGTCAGACAGTCAGGGGACAGACAGAGAACGAACAGTCAGGGGACAGACACATTATTAACATACAGACAAGGAACAGACAGTCAGGAGACAGACAGACAAGGGACAGACAAGGGACAGACAGACAAGGAACAGACAGAGGACAGACAGAGAAGGAACAGAGTTAAGGGGTAGAGAGACAAGGGACAGACAGGGGACAGACAGACGAGGGACAGACGTACAAGGAACAGACGGGGGGCCGACAGAGAAGAACAGACAGTCAGGGGATAGCGAGACAAAGGACAGTCAGGGGACAGACAGAGAAGGAACAGTCAGGGGACAGACATATTATTAACAGACAGACAAGGAACAGACAGTCAGGGGACAGACAGACAAGGGACAGACAGACAAATGACAGACAGAGACGGAACAGACAGTCAGGGGACAGACAGAGAAGGAACAGACAGTCAGGGAACAGACAGACAAGGAACAGTCAGGGGACAGACAGACAAGGAACAGACAGTCAGGGGACAGAGAGACAAGGAACAGACAGTCAGGGGACAGACAGAGAAGGAACAGACAGTCAGGGAACAGACAGACAAGGAACAGTCAGGGGACAGACAGACAAGGAACAGACAGTCAGGGGACAGAGAGACAAGGAACAGACAGGGGACAGACAAACAAGGAACAGACAGACAAGGATCAGACAGTCAGGGGACAGACAGACAAGGAACAGATAAGGACAGACAATGAACAGACAGGGGACAGACAGACAGACAAGGAACGGACCGTCAGGGGACAGACAGACAAGGAACAGACAGTCAGGAGACAGACATAGGTAGGAACAGACAGACAAGGAACTGACAGTCAGGGGACAGATAGAGAGGGGCTGGAAAGACAAGGAACAGACAGTCAGGGACAGATAGAGAGGGGATAGAAAGACAAGGAACAGACAGTCAGGGGACAGACAGACAAGGAACAGAAAGTCAGGGTACAGACAGAGGTAGGAACAGACAGACAAGGAACAGACAGTTAGAGGACAGACAAGGAACAGACAGTCAGGGGACAGACAGACAAGGAACAGATAGTGAGGGGACAGACAGACAAGGAACAGACAGACAAGAGACACAGGTCACGCCGCGCCACCCTACACCCGACATAAAACGTTAGAAGTGATCCCTGTATTTCACATATCAGCAGACCGGTTATACCTGGCTGTGACCCCAGATGACCTGCACACAACCGTAGTCTACCCAGTGTAAACACAGATGGTGGGAATATCGCGAGTAACCAAAACTGCTTAAGCTACAGGAGAGAGCTACGTCACCAAGACTGTTTTGTACCATCTGTGCCGAGATTGTCTCGCAATAACAGGAGTGAAAAATATGCACGAACGCTGGTGTCTAATCAATGAAGCTCTCGTAAAATATTTCAATGTGATTGTGTACGTCATCCTGTCAAAGAGGAGTGCTGCTTGTAAAACTACAAACGAAAGTCAGTTTTAATCATTTATACTCTCATCTCGGAATCTCATGCAATCTAAGCCGTGAATTGTCCACAGCAGAAAGGTCCAACATTCCCCATAGGCGACGAAGATACAGACAGTTGATTGCCTGGTTGTGTGGCCTGGTTGTGTGGCCTGGTTGTATGACCTGGTTGTGTGACCTGATTGTGTGACCTGGTTGTATGACCTGGTTGTGTGACCTGATTGTGTGACCTGGTTGTATGACCTGGTTGTGTGACCTGGTTGCGGGACCTGATTGTGTGCCCTTGTTGTGTGACCTGGTTGTATGACCTGGTTGTGTGACCTGATTGTGTGACCTGATTGTGTGGCCTGGTTGTGTGACCTGATTGTGTGGCCTGGTTGTATGACCTGGTTGTGTGACCTGGGTGTGTGACCTGATTGTGTGACCTGGGTGTGTGACCTGATTTTGTGACTTGGCTTTATGACCTTTCTGTGTGACCTGGCTGTATGACCTGGCTGTATGACCTGATTTTGTGACCTGGTTGTGTTACCAGATTGTGTGACCTGGCTGTATAACCTGGCTGTGTGGCCTGGTCATGTGACCTGGTTGTGTGACCTGACTGTGTGATTTGGCTGTATGACCTGGCTGTGTGATCTGGTTATGTGACCTTGCTGTGTGACCTGGCTGTGTGACCCGGCTGTGTGACCTTGTTTTGTGTGCTCATGCTATTGACCACAGGTTTGCCTCGACCAGACTGCATTACTACACGCCTTGATTATTAATTCCGAGTAAACGCCATTCACTCATTAGGAAATAAATTATTACAGAAACGAAGGTAGGTCGATGCTCATGATGTCAATCATTGGATTGCCTGGTTCAGACTTGATTATTTACAGACCGCCGCCATATAGCTGAAATATTGCAGATTGCGGCGTTATACAAACAGACAAACAAACAAAAAAGAAATCGACCAACATAAAAACAAGCACTGTTTTCGATGTTTCACTTGCCTACCTGATACTTTAAGTATATTTGATTGGATGCCGAATGGGTCGGGTGTTCATGCTCAATGGCGTCGCGGGACGTGTGTCTGTGACAGATTCAGTCATTTACAGGCGCGTGGTACAAATGGAATATTGCTGACTCCGGCGCTCAGCAACATTCATTCACCATGGTATCGGTGAAATAGTACTAAAAGCGGCGATACACTCACTCACTCACTCACTCACTCACTCACTCACTCAGTTTTATTCAGTACTTAAAAGGCCACAGGCCTATAGTACAATGCGTAACTATTTACATGTAGGTGACTCACTCACTCACTCACTCACTCACTCACTCACTCACTCACTCACCCACTCACTCACTCAGTTATATTCAGTACTTAAAAGGCCACAGGCCTATGGTACAATGCGTAACTATTTACATGTAGGTGACTCACTCACTCACTCACTCACTCACTCACTCTGCAATAGCCGTAACACCGTGCATCACCAGTGGGACTGACGTATTCGAACTCCGCCCCCGCACTGCCTGGCACTCTGCACGTGTCTTCATAAATGATGAGTAGGACACCGCTTTCAACAGTGCTCCAGTTACATAACGGCGTGTCAGGTTTCAGCAAAGCCTGAAGTGATGCAGGTCTTTGCCACTTCTGTTAAACCAACGAGAACAGGTATGGTTTGACAATCTAAAAACCAGTAGTCGAACCCACTTTCATAGGTTTCTGATACGCCAAAGGGACGCAACTCTGCACAGCGAATTGTACCGACTGAGCGACCCGTGACCCCCTTCGTAACAGGTTCCGAATATTCACCCATCATAAAGAAAAAGTGCTGTTAGGTAACCAAGTCGTTGAATTACTGGAGCCACATGCTAACAGCATCCTCGTCCTTGTAGGGCGCCAACATGCGTCTTACCTGCGTCACTTCCGGCTTTCCTCCCACATCAAGCCTACAGATTACTGCAACACTAGACCCAATCACTCTATCAATTAATTAGGAGTTGAATGAGTTGATTGGAGTCCGAGAATCTCCTTGTATCCACGTCGGCGCTCACTCTGAGACGTGAACGTCAATTCTTCTAATTTGTTTGATCCCTATTTGATATCTCGTTTGTTCACAGCATATCGTGCAGCACGTGTGACCTTGCGTGGTCACTGACAGTCACGTGACTTCCGGCTACGTCTGTGTCTACGTCATTTCTACAATAACGTCTCGGGGAAAACGTATCAACGTCAAAATGGACCGTTCATACGGTTATAAACGTCAGTTTTTAGGTCATGTGACCGGCCTTGTTCAATGAAAATCTCCATTTATTTTAACATCAAATTACAAAATGTTAAACTGTGACGTCCATCGTTGGTGGTAACCCTGGAGGCAGGGTTCTCAGGGACATGTTTTCAGAAATGCGAAAACCATGGGTGATCATCTCTTACCGTACGTCCACATTAGCCTATGACACATGCAGACCCGTGAAGATCTGGGTGGAGAAAAGGCCAGGTACAAATCATGAGTTGAATGAAAAAGCAGGCTACTTAACACAACGGAAAACCCTGTCATGCCATCATCATTAGGAATGGTTGCAAAATAGAATTCGCTTTACGAAAGATTAGCCCAGTATTTCAACATTGCCAGTATTAATATTTCTAAGCGGTTGCGTTTATTGTCAATCGACACAGACATTTTGACAGGAGGAGCCAAATATATTGTTTTATCGATGACACAATGTTTTCAGAAAAAACAGAATGTCCAGTGACCCAGGATTCAAATGATTCTTATCAAGCATTTTGAGTGAGTGAGTGAGTATGGTTTTACGCCGCTTTTAGCAATATTCCAGCAATATTACGGCGGGGAACACCAGATATGGGCTTCACGCATTGTACCCATGTCGGGAATCGAACCCGGGTCTTCGGCGTGACGAGCGAACGCTTTAACCACTAGGCTACCCGACCGCCCCGAGGAATATATAAGAAATCACTGCTAACCGCAGAGTGAGTTATACGAATCCGACTTACAAAATATTCAATATATTCAGAATTAAAACAAGTATAGTAAAATAACAT